TCTCAAATTTTGAGATTCAAGTTTGTTTGTAGGTCAATTAAAAAGAGATAGGTAGAGACAAAGACAAATTTCTCCCTCTTCTCGATCCTTCTGCTCTGAGAACATCGAACTCGCTCTATGTTCTCGCTCCAAAGCGAAACAAACACTTTTGGGAATGCTCGGGGTGTCAATTCAAGCACGTTTGCAGCGCTCGGAGATCTCCGATGATCAAATCAAACGCACCATAAGTTGGAAGGATTCAGATAACTTAGTAAGAGTTGTTAATTAAATTCTACAAAATGTTTATAAATGGTGTTGCAATCATTTGTTAAAAATCAACACAAATGCTCTATACAGTTAGTAGAAAAATTCAAATATTTAAAAGTAATTATTCAGAAACAGATGAAATTCACAGACCATATGCAAATACTGTTATCAAAACAATTGCAGTTAAATTACATTTCCTATTTAGAATTTGATTATAATAATTGTTATATTATTACATTATTTTTTACTAAATTTGAATATTGTGATATTAGCAAACTAGCCAAATAAAGAAAATAAAATAAAAACCGAAAACATACCTGTTTCTACAATAATATACAGGGTGTAACTAAATAAGTGTAAAACATTTAAGGGGATGATTCCTCATCGAAAAAAAGATAGGATCTTTCATATAAAGAAACTTCATTGGAGCATCCCTTGTTAAGATACAGCCCCTTAAAGGCATTCCAAACAAATGAATTGCCAGTGGGAAGGTTTGGTATATCTAAGGGTGGCGACATATGGTGTATTCTATCTACTTTACGTAAAATCATGAATAATGGATTACATTTAAATATTTTATGTCAAACACAATAAAAATAATATTTAAAAAACTCACCCATAAATTGGCAGGCTTGGCGAGTACTACTTAGAATAAAAATAGCGTCCAAGTTGCAAGACTATGTCGCTACCCCTTTAAATATACAAGAATTTCCCGCTGGCATCTATTGTTTGACAGGTCGTTGGAATGCCTAATTACTTCAATTTCAAAAATTTACAAACTGAAAGCTTGATTTCAATGTAATTGTCAGTATCGCTAATAGCTGCCTACTAGATAAATTAGTTTCGTATTTTCGTTTTATGGCGATATCTATCTTGTTCGTAAAATAATTTTTTGCTGCGCACTGGTTTATTTTGGGCAAAAAATTCAAGAGACATTTTTTGTTTAGAATGAAACAGGCTATCGGAAATAAATGTTTAAATGGTAAACAAATAATAAGACAAAAAGTTACGCTGGAACGAAATTTTAGGGGTTGCGTTTTCCACCCCTTACAACCATGGGGTAAACCAAATAAATTACTGGCTAAGTGTCTTTTTGGTAGTAGAAAATGTCAGGTTAATTTCAATATTGTAACTTGTTTAGTGCTTGTGAAAAAAATTGTTAAACAAATTTTATGTACCCCCTTTAAGGGGCTGTATCTTAACAAGGGATGCTCCAATGAAGTTTCTTTATATGAAAGATCCTATCTTTTTTTCGATAAGGAATCACCCCTTAAATGTTTTACACTTATTTAGTTACACCCTGTATATAAATAATAAGTATATTATCTTTTAAATTATTAAAGTCTATTAAATTGAAATGACACGTCAAACTATAAACGTCAAACTTACTTGTGTTGTGTTTCAAACAGAAAATACCATTTATAGAATAATTTATTTACTTGAAACCTTTCCCCACACAACACCTCGCCCCTCACCCAGGAACATGGTCAAATTGGGCTAAGCCATTTTTAAATCTTATCACAAGATTCCTGAAATAATTAGGCAAAAATAAAAGAATGTATTTTGCTTTTTAACTTTTAAATACTATAAAAAATGGTGGAAAGTCCATAACTTTTAAATATTTGTTAAATATCACTTATTAAAATATTATGCATTAAAAGTAAAACAAACTATAGACTTTCCACCATACTTTACAGTTTTTTGAACCCATTGAGCTGTATTTTTTGTGATAAAAAAGTCGCCGTCACTTGAAATTGACAACGCGTTGAACATGCATTATAGATTATTTGACACTATTATTTTATTAAAAGTTACTGTAGAAATTGGTTAATTACAGGGTGGTTTGGAAATGTTTTTTTTTTTTTTGAAAAAATAATTTTTTGTGACAGCGTTAAAAATATGAACCATGAAAATATAGTTTAAGTAATTGCTTCTTGATGATATATCATATTTTATACAAGGCGACTCATAAATGGAGTTTCGGAGAAATTATATTGTTTTTCGGCTTTGACGAGTCACCGTATAAACGATGTATCATGAATTTTTAATATTATTTTAAATAAATGTATGACATGTCACTACTCTGTCATACAGGGCGTTAAATCAATTACAAAAACTTTAAAAATTAGAAAAACAGTTTTTTGTGCAACATTCTGTATTTTAAAAGTTTCTTCGTCAACTTCATAAATTATTACATTTTTACATTAACAAAAGTTCAGTATATAACTGAGCAAAATTTTGTTGTAATTCTATGACCAGTTTTCCTAATATGTGTTTCTAAAGTACTATAGTGAAACGATGTTTTTAATATCTATTTTGCTTATCATCTAATATACATATGTATTTACTTTATTAATACAAAGTACCTAGTAAGATCAAATTTACTTTGTATCCAAGCGAAAACACTCGGCGATGAGAGTATTTGATGTATTTGAGTCAACGGAACATACAACTTTTCTCAATTTTGTTATAAGTGCAACTTATAAAATATGTAGGCTAGATAGTCCTAGGAACATCTGGAATGAAATAATATAATTATTGATTTGCGAATGCAGTAACATACCTAGCAATATAGTTTTCTCGGGTAATTAAGTTGAAGCCAATACTGTTTGGGACAAAATTCTGGGTACCTATTCTTGAATCTCAAGCAGTAAAAATTTTGAGAGAAGAATGAGACAAAAATACAAATATTGTACGTTGCAGATAAAGAGGAAAAGACGGTTTTCTACTCTCTCGAATTCAAGAATAACTACCCTGGAGTAATGATAATTTAACTTGTGATATACGAGTAATTTTACTGGTCATTTCCCGAGAGGTATAATTACATATTTTTTTGTCATCGGCATCAACTGCTAAGGTTATTAGCTGCGTGTACTGGTTGTTTCCCAGTGCCACTTTAGGAACAGCACTGTTAATTATAACCCAACAGTAAATGGACGAGTGGCGAATTCTACCTATGCATTAGAATTAATATTTAATTCATTATATTATATAAAAATCACCGTAGGGATTTGAACCTTAGACCTTTCGATCTCAAAGTCATGACTCTAACCACTGAGCCAACCCACCCCCATATAATAATTAAATATTATTTCTAACAAATTATCGGTTACACCATGCCCAATTTAACAAAATGTGAAAAGATGTTTTTCGTTTATACATCTTTTTCCACCACCGTCTGCAAATAACTGACTGGTATTGAAAAGTTTTTCAAATTGGTATCGCGAAATGTTAATACTTTAAAATGTTCCTCTGTTGACATCTTCCCAGTTATGAGTTTTTTGTCGTGAATTAGTAATAGTTTTTAGCGCTTGCTAAAGATTATGCAAATCCCTCGCCAAATAGTGCCTTGATTATCAAGATAATAACCAGAAACTTTTGAAAATAACGTTCAATCTGTTTGACTTGCCTGAATTGTTCTGTAATTATTTGACAAATGCTTAGTTGTGTTTTATATTATGTAACAGACAAAATCGAATATAATTTCATTAGATCCCGCGGTCTTAACCATCGCCAGTTTAAAGCATTTTTGGATGAACTTTCTTCAGAACACGATGATGTGACATATTATTGGTGACTAAGCAAAAGTAAAATGCTAAAAAGATTTAAGACCTTAGAAATAAATAGCTGATTTTATGGAAATGAAAAAGAAAACATTGCCGCAAATTTGTGATCCAACTTGGTTTTGTGACTTGGCATTCCTGGTAGACATCACAGGACACTTAAACGACCTAAACTTGAAGCTTCAAAAACAAGAGTAAATCAGCTGTACAATCATCTTATAGCTTTTCATAACAAAATTCGCTTGTGGGAAACACAAATGATAAGTAAAAACTGTTTTCATTTTTCAACATTATCCAGTCACGAAAACATTGAATACGGACTGAAGAATTGAAACTACAGTCCGAGCAATTTACTGATCGATTTTCCGGTTTTAAGAAAATGGTTAGCACTTTCAATATTTTTGCGAATCCTTGTTAAGCATAATATGGAAGATGCTCCGCTTCACCTACAAATGGAGTTGATCGAGCTTCAAGAAGACTCATATTTGAAGTATACATTTGATGATGTGGATATAAGCGAATTTTGCAGAACATACCATTCCAAAGAAAAGTATCCAGAGGTGACAGTTTTCGCACGAAAAATAATTTGCACTTTTGGAAGCACGTATAAAAGTGAGCAGCTTTTTTCTATCATGAAAATTAATAAAAATAAGAATCGTACTCGGTTTACAGATGTTAATTTAAAAAACACTTTGCGCCTATGTACTAGTGATATTGACCCCAATATTGATCATCTTGTTTCTCATCTTCAAACTCAAGTATCTCATTAATTTTATGTTTCTATCTTTTTTATTAACTTGCTTTTTATATAATGTTTGATTGAGACAATCATTATTCTATTATAATTATTAAATAAAAAAATATGTGAATTTTTGTCTCTTTTTTATTCACTACTACCTACTTATTTCTTGTCTACGGCCCGCGACCTAATTAAGTCTCGAAATTACGCCCTTAGCTAAGCAAAGGTTGCCCATACCTAATTTAAATTAAGTTTCTTCAGCACAACAATGCCCCAACCAATAATTTGTTGTCAACCATGGATAAATAGCTTGCAGGAGAGAAACAAACCTAACCGTATATATTTAATAAATCACTTTTATTCCTAAAAATTATTATTAAATGGATATATCATTTTCCTTTTTAGTTTTCATCTTTCTTTAAAAATCATTATAAAAAACATAAAAAACTTACTCAGAGTGTGCCTCAGGGTACATATGGCAGGCTACTGCTACAAACAACCTGAAAAATAAAGACATTGATGAAATCATAATATGAAAAATCAACAATCAATGAGTTGGCTAAGTTTAGTATTTAGTCTAAGTTTAGTCAAGAATTTAAACAGAGGTGTCTTGGCATCAGGGGCGGTTTCTCCATTGGTTCATTTGTAGAGTGAACACCCAGTTACATTTCATAAAAACACATTATTTTAAAATAACTAAAAATATAAATTCAATTTTAAAATTTTATGGTTTTTATACGTGTTAATTTCTATTTTTGGGTACATCACTGCGCTAGTCTTCTCTTCGTGGTGCACTATTCTAAGCGAGTCCGAGGGAGTGAGAGGTTTTAGCGAAAGCCTGCAGCTAAAAAGAGAGGTCACACGAGAAAAAATGTGCCTGCTTAAAATCACTTAAATCACCTTATTTTGTTTATTGCATATAATCAAAGAGTGACGTCACAAAGTAGGGAGGAGCATACAAATCTTTCCAATCATTGATATAGAATAAAGAGGATATGACGATACTAAAAGTGTCCGCACTTTTGCATTAACACTTTTACATCATATGTCAAACTCGAGCTAGTCAGTTTTGGTGAGAATAAATACAATTTTTTTAAAATAGCATAATTTAAATGATATAAAAACATTTTTATTCCTTCAATCTTCAAATATAAAATTATTAACTTCAAATTAATCAAAATAAGACTCAAAGTGCGTTCACTTGTCATATCGTAAAATAGCGTTTATGTCGTATCAACTTTATTTTATCTGATTCTATCTCGATATTTCCAATCAAACTACATTTCTACATTTTTATAACATGAATTATAAATTCTCATAAGACAATTTTAATTGTGTTTAAATAAAACTGCGACTTCAATAAATCGGAAGCATGTGTGTCAATTCAACGATTGTTCTCCAAGGTAAAACATTTACTATTATTTTAAACAAAAGTATTTTTGAGGTTGTTATAATGTTTATTTACAAATTTTATACAATAATAATAGTTTTACGACTATAATTTATATTTTGTTTTTTGTTCCAATCTGTCTTCAGAATAGTCATTTATTTTGTACCCCACTGTAAGTACTATGCAGGGAGCAACAAATTTGAGTTCAATACAAAAGACGTAAACGAAGTTTCAAAAACAAAAAACTGCTTAAATGGATCTAATGTCATTAGAAGAGATTTCACAGAGACAAAATTTAATTATATCCGAGTGTGTTGGTTAAACTATATCAACTTTATTATGTTGAATTTTATTTAAAACGGTACTCTTTTATAGGAAAACCATCCAAATTAAGCAATGAGTTTCATCAAGAAATGGGCTCTTATGGCAATGATATAAATTACCTAACTTTAAACAGATTTTAGATTTGTAGAGCAGCTTTATTTGAATTGCCTCATAGTTTCTTTAAATTAAAACCTTAGACGTTTCATATATTTTTTATTGACAATCTCAAAATCAAAACTACTAAAGTAAATAGTGAACATAGTGAGTATCAAGAATGAATTTCATTCTTGATAAACTAAACCACATACTTCTCGAAGTAACATCAATCTCTTAGCTTGAAGGAGTTTGGTCAACATGTCGGCAAGCATGCTTTCTGTTGGACAATATTCACATATTAATCCTTTGGCAACAGTCTTTATTTAACAAAATTATATTTTGTATCGATGTGTTTCGTTCGTTTACTAAATTTTTTTAAAGTCAACATTTTCAAACAACTTTGGTTATCTTCTAATATGCGAATGGCTTCTTTAGCTTTAGAATTCGATTAAGACATATGGCTTTCTGTGTAGTTTCCGCCAGTGCAACGAATTCAGCCTCTGTTGAGAGAGCAACGAATGTTTGCTTCTTGTAGCTCCAACTGATGGCTCCTCCATTAAGCATAAACATGTAACCGCTATTCGATTTTCTCTCTTGTCTATCTGCAGCCCAACTAGCGTAGCGTAGCGTGCCCTTGAGATATTTGACTAACCTTTTGAGTTCTGTCCAATCTTCTTGTGTTGGTTTACTAACCTTTTTGGCCAAAATTGAGACGCTAGCAACAATATCGGGCCTGGAATTCACCGACAGAAACAGCAAACATCCTATCGTATGTTGGTACTTTTCATATTGTTCATTAAAATATTTTAACTTATAATTTTCTCAAGAGGGATACTGGATGTTTTCGAATCTTGTAATGTAAGGGCTAACTAACACAAGTTTATTAATATAATTCCTCTGTCCAATGAAAAACAATCCAAATTTGTCTCTTCCGATTTCGATTCAGAGATATAACTTTGGCTCTCCCAAACTGCTAATTTCGAATTTTCTTTCCATGTCCTTTACAGTTTTCAAGACAAATTTCTTTTGCAAACTTGATATCAATAAATCATCTACGTAAATTAGAATCATAATAAAATTTTCGTTTTCAATATTCTTCACATTATAAACATTTATCTGTCCTACTTTGGGAAAAGTCTAAAAACTTCAAATGCTCATCTAAAGCTTCGTTCCAAGTTCTCGCTGCCTGTTTCAATCCATATAAACTTTTCTTTAGCAAGCATACTTTATTTCCTTCCTCTTTTTGAAAACCTGGTGGCTGTTTCATGTATATTGTTTCTTTTAATGCTGCATTTAAAAATGATGTCTTTATAACTACATGTTATATGGAATTTGGTAATTATGGCGAAGACGCTCTTTTCTTAAAAATACATTTTGTTTTACAAAACTTGCATTTTATTCTTTAGGAAGGAGAGTATTTTTCAAATATACCACCGGAAACCCCATAAATTACTGTTTTTTTTTTAAATTTACATATTAAAGGCTTATGAGGATCATTAAATGATCATTTGTGTAAACTTATTCATTAGAATTTAGAATTATATCTGTCATGTTCTGTCAACTCCCCTTGATATTTACATCAAGGAGGTTGCTCTGACGACAATGACACGCCTCCGCACGGTCGGAATAGAACCTGATGCAGGATCTGGTGAGGCGAGACGTCACTCTTGGCAGGAGGCGCTCGATACGCTCCCAATGCTTCAAGCGAACATGGACTCCATCTCACCGAGATATATCTTCCATAAGCCATATTAGCCCAAGAGCCCACTGCAAATTTTTACCGTCATCTGATAACGAAATGAAATATACCCCAAAAGCACAGAAAAACATTGTACTTTACCAAATGGCACCTGTGCCAATCCCAATCCTGAGCAAAGTGGTTTAAAAAAATTATTTTATATTAAAAAAATCACAAAAGGTATGACAGCGCTAATTTGCTTTGCCCTTAAAGTATTCCAGAAAATTACATTCAAATATATCTTGATATATATCGTTAAAGGGAAACATTTTCTTCCTCTTAACATCGCACAAAAACATCCATCCACGATTAGTAGGTAAAAATAATTAAAAATATGAATCAGTGTTTGCTGATTTAAAAATTTATTTGTATGCCTATTGTTGTGATTCATTTTTACAGGTTGCCATAGAAACGACAAAAAAACTACTATGATTATGGTTTAAAATAATTATCTAACAAGAGTTTATAATTATTATTGACTATCTCTGCAAATGGTTTATACAGTGCCATTCTTCTTCCTTTCATACATAAATATGGTTTAAAAGGTAGGTAAAAATATTAATAATTTAGGTTTAAAAGCTAGGTTCACAATGAATTAGGATTGTAATTTTCAGGGAAAACATAATTGTCGCTGTCATGTCTTATGTGATTTTTTGAATATAAAATAATTTTTTTTAACCAGTTTGCTCAGGATAGGGATTGGCACAGGTTCAATTTGGTAAAGTACAATGTTTTAACATGCCTTTGGAGCATATTTCATTTCGTTATCAGATGACGGTCGAAATTTGCAGTGGGCTCTCATACTATATAAAGTTATAACAGAAGCCAGAAGTGGCAGGTACGATTCATATCTACACCGACGGTTCTAAAACAAAACAAGGCTCAGGATTCTTAAACCTAAACATAAAATGGGTTGTGAGCAATAGTGCCAGTGTAGTTCAAACAGAGCTAATGGGGATTCTCATAGCAGCAAAAGAAATAACCAGAAATAATATCACTGGAAGGAACATGCTCAGCTATACAGATAGCAGACAAGCACTACTCACCCTGAACAGACCACGAATTTATTCTGGGTTAGTACTAGAATGTCATGAAGCTTTTGCCGAAGTATCCATCAACAATGTGGTCACCTTAAGAAGGATCAAAGGTCACGCCACATCGAAAGGTAACCGTCTTGCCGATTCACTAGCCAAAAAAGCAGCCAACCAAATACTTTTTGGACCTGGCCCTTCTATTGGCCTGACCAAATCGGTAGTGACAGACCTAATTAAAGAACATTCCCTTGTGAAATTCAAGGAAAGATGGGATGAAACAAGAAACTGCAGAGTTGCCAGGGAGCTCTTAAGTTATCCTGACAACACTGCAGCAAACAAATACTTGACTATTGCTGGACAGAATCTGCGTCTGGTCACAGGCATTCTGACTGGTCATTGCCAAGTACGGAAGCATCTCCATATCATGGGGCTGTCAGAATCCGTACTCTGCAGAGGGTGCGAACAAGAAGATGAGACCATCGAGCATATCCTTTACGATTGCCCGACGCTCTCATTTATTAGAAAATTGGTGTTCGACGAGTATCGGCTAACACCGGCCGATATAAGAGAAGCACCTCTTGGCGACGTTGTCAACTACATTAAATCTGTAGGCTGGCTAACAAGCTAGGAGGTGCCTATCATCTTAGGAGGATGCACAATGGGCCTAATGAGGCCTAAGTGCTGTGGGGGTAACCCACCCTCCACACGTTACAGATACAGACAGATGTTCTGTCAAGAGGGCTTTTCATCACAATATTTTTTGTGCGCGTCAGTAGCAGCCATCTTTTTCGTACTGTTTTTTTGTAAACAAGCATGTTAAAATATCCACGTGAAAAAATTATAATCGATAAATATTAATTTTAAGTGTATTCGTTTAAAAAATGGGATAAAAAAGTAAAGTAATAAGTGTCTTAATTG